AGCTGCATTTACTCTACGTGTGTATTGATGGAGTGCAGTCACTGGTTGTTTTTTGTATGCAATTCTTGTACAGCCACTAGCACGCATAGCGTTTCGGGCAAGTCCTTAATCCTAATTTTTTCCTGGAATACGACCCGCCAAATTGTTTAACAACCAGGTACCCATTTCACTGCTGGGTTAAACAGAGGCTACAGTTGAGGATTGGCGCCAAGTAAATCCTCCCCGGCCAGGGTACGAACCCTGGACAAAGCGCTCGCGAATACCATTTTATTAATCCTGCTGTTGCCCGGCGCCTTGTTCTTGAGACCTGTAATTGTTTTTGAACCTCTGCAATGGTTATGTGTTTCATAAGGTGGCAGTCATTGCGAATGTTGTTAAGGTCTATTGTTTGCGTCGGATTAAGTAGTATTGCAGCTCTGTTAACGACTCGAGTTGTAATTCAAGTTCAAGTATGTTTATTGAGACAAGCAATAAATACATCTCAAAGGGATAGAGTAGCTTAGACTATTTCTACCCCCCTAGTTGTAATTTCCCTTTCATCAATGGGGCAAAAGTTTAAATTTTTTTCCGGGTTTATCCTGAATATTTTTTCCCAGAATTTCCTGAATTCCTGTTCTTGTTCTCTCTCCTCATAGAGTTTATTTCCTGTTGCGTCTATGATGTAGGGTGTTTCCTCGGCTGAGTTTCCCATCAGGGTTTTTACTTTTTTCCTGAACTTTTCTGGGTTTCTGTAGTCGACTTGATTTTGGATTGTTAGGTCATCTCATTTGTTGGTGTACTGTGTTTTGCATAGATCTTTCAGCTCATCTTGTACTCTTTTGGGCTCGTCCGTCCACCCATATGTGGAAGCTGGTCAGAATTGCATTTCACCTTTGTAAACGCACATTAATGACACTATGTAAAAACAAACCTCGAACACTGTTTATGTAAGACACACGTAAATCTGTGTATTTACGTATGTAGGTTAGATTAGCATTTTAAAAGCACTACAATCACCTTCTGTGGTTGATTGTTCAATAAATCCCTGAACTATGTGTTTAAAAGATCTCTCACCCTGTCCACGGAGGACAGAAGAAAATGTATATATGTCGGTTAGCATTGTAAATGTCTGGCCACGTCTGTGGTAGAAAATAATAATAATAAAACCATTGGGCGTTATGAGTTGTAGAAGATTGTTATATCTGGTTTGCCAGTGTTGTGAGTGCCTCAGTGGCTGGGGGGGGGGGACGGGGGAGTTATATGGTGAGCTACGGGGAAGTTAGTTTAGTTCATTTATTATGCACCCCATACCCATCTTGTGGGTAGTAGTGTTAAGGGTTATTGAGGCATATAATGGGCTCAGGGACACGGGGGGGGATATGATCGTTCATTAATTTTTCTATGGTGCTAACCCATGCATTGGAGGAGTGGGGAAGGAGGGGGGGAGGTGTGGGGGTGATCCAGCCAGGATGGAGCTAATATGGGAGGGCGGCCCGTGAGGGTTTACGGGCTATTCATGCCCGTGCCACCTCTTGGCTGGCTTAAATTAAGCCTCACCAATGACCATGAAGGTGTTGGGTCAGTCCGGGCCGCCAGTGTTGATACCCAGGGGGGGGGGGGTTCTAGGGGGGAGGGGTTGGGGGGGAAGAGGAGGGGGTGTCAGGAGGGTTGTGGGGGGGGGAGTGTCTTGCGTGGGGGGGGAGTGTCTTGCGTGGGGGGGGAGTGTCTTGCGTGGGGGGGGGGAGTGTCTTGCGTGGGGGGGGAGTGTCTTGCGTGGGGGGGGGAGTGTCTTGCGTGGGGGGGGGAGTGTCTTGCGTGGGGGGGGAGTGTCTTGCGTGGGGGGGGAGTGTCTTGCGTGGGGGGGGGGGTACTTGCGAAGGTCATCTTCCATTTCACCAGTTACGTCGCTTTTTTTTTACATTATCGTAATTAAGGTTGCTTAAGAAACCTTAGTTACCCATAAAAAAACAACCCATTAAAAAAAACGGTAATGGCTCTCACAAATATTTGCGTTTTCTATGCATCGGACTCGCTATAGGTTACGCTGGCTGCTTAATTAATGGGTCCCTACGGCTCTGGGCGAGCTAAAAAGGTTGAATTTTTTTACGGAGTGGCGAATCGAGAGAACGAGGTGAGCATTCACGGCACTCTGGGAGGTTTGACCAAAATGTGATCTGTGTTAATTAATTAAAAAAAGTTAATTAATAGTTTTATAAGTGATTATCTTTTCAATCATTATTATTATTTAATGTTTAGAAAACTGCTGCAAGTGTGAACTACTCCAATGTATTTATGAACAGATAAACAGTGCTTTTTACGCTTTATGTAAATAAGTCATCAATTGCTATACTGGATGTGGGCGGGACAAGATGTCCACTGAGGTGACTTAAGAGCAAGCATTACGAAGCCCTCATGTCTACGACGTCCAGTTCCGGCTGGAGGGTGGTAGAGCGGTCCCTGTGTGGCGTAGCAAACCTCCACCACCACCACCACTACACTTCTTCACTGTCTTACACACACACACACACACACACACACACACACACACACACACACACACACACACACACACACACACACACACACACACACACACACACACAGAAAGAACTTTTTTAGTGTCAGAGTGGTTGACAAATGGAATGCATTAGGCAGTGATGTGGTGGAGGCTGACTCCATACACAGCTTCAAGTGTAGATATGATAGAGCCCAGTAGGCTAAAGCTCAACCCCCGCAAGCACACAGACACACACACACAGAAAGACCTGGGGGTTGATATCACGCCAGACCTGTCCCCTGAAGCCCATATCAAGAGGCTAACATCAGCGGCATATGCCAGGTTGGCCAACATAAGAACGGCCTTTAGAAACTTGTGTAAGGAATCTTTCAGAACATTGTATACCACATATGTCAGACAAATCCTGGAGTATGCAGCCCCAGCATGGAGTCCATATCTGGTCAAGCATAAGACTAAACTGGAAAAGGTTCAAAGATTTGCCACCAGACTAGTACCCGAGCAAAGAGGTATGAGCTACGAGGAGAGACTACGGGAATTAAACCTCACTTCGTTGGAAGACAAGAGATAGGGGGGACATGATCACCACATTCAAGATTCTCAGGGGAATCGACAGGGTAGATAAAGACAGGCTATTTAACACAAGAGGCACACGCACACGGGGACACGGATGGAAACTGAGTGCCCAAATGAGCCACAGAGATATTAGAAAGAACTTTTTTAGTGTCAGAGTGGTTGACAAATGGAATGCGTTAGGCAGTGATGTGGTGGAGGCTGACTCCATACACAGTTTCAAGTGTAGATATGATAGAGCCCAGTAGGCTCAGGAACCTGTACACCTGTTGAGTGACGATTGAGAGGCGGGACCAAAGAGCCAGAGCTCAACCCCCGCAAGCACAATTAGGTGAGTACACACCATTCACCATTTACTACAGCTCGTAAGAGACCACCCACTGGCCCTACCGCCCTCCACCCACGAGGGAGGTCGCCCCTCCCTACACACACCTGGCTCTCCTCCCTCGTACGGCACACACCTGCCAACACTGACCATCCACCGCAGGGAAGACGACCATCTGGGTTGCCTGGCGTATCCCCCAGGCTGACTGCCAGCGTTGCCGCCCCCCACTACCACCTGCCTGGAGTTGGATTTCTGAAGCTCATCATAATCCGTCAGTCGCGAACGGTGGATTGTGTGCGGTAGGAGGTATGTTCCCGTGAGGTCCCGTGAGGTCCCGTGAGGTCCCCTGAGGTCCCCTCAGTCCTGGGAGGGACCCCGGACCCTGGGGAAGGTCAGGGGCCCTGTGACCACGTATAACATTCAAGTTTGTTATCTTAAGGTTATCTTGAGATGATTTCGTTTTTTTTTTTTAGTGTCCCCGCGGTCAGGTCCTCGACCAGGCCTCCACCCCCAGGAAGCAGCCCGTGACAGCTGACTAACACCCAGGTACCTATTTTACTGCTAGGTAACAGGGGCATAGGGTGAAAGAAACTCTGTCCATTGTTTCTCGCCGGCGCCTGGGATCGAACCCAGGACCACAGGATCACAAGTCCAGCGTGCTGTCCGCTCGGCCGACCGGCTCCCGTTGTTTGAGACAAGAAAGAAATACATCTCAAAGGGATAGAGTAGCTTAGGCTATTTCTACCCCTCTTCGTATAGCATTGTTACCTGGTTGATGGGGTTCTGGGAGTTCTTCTACTCCCCAAGCCCGGCCCGAGGCCAGGCTTGACTTGTGAGAGTTTGGTCCACCAGGCTGTTGCTTGGAGCGGCCCGCAGGCCCACATATTCGTTTGTGGGCCTGCGTTGTCAGCCTCCTAATCGAGTATTCTCCGTTCCATCCTCTCAAGGTTGTTCAATTTCTCCTTAAAATAACGCCCATGGCGTTGTTAGCCAGCGTGTATAATTATACCGTTTGTATAATGTATATTTGTAAATATATAAATATAAAAATTTCAATGTCTTGACAATACCATCACTAACGGTTAAGCAGCGTGAAGAGAAAGACTAAGGAGAACTGTGTGTGCGGGAATGACGCAACCACAACAGTCTAATGAAGCAGGTGTCTCCCAGCAACAGCAAGTGACCCATAAAGCAACAAATACCACCGTCCCTCCTCCCGCCTACCTGCCCCCCGTGACGTCACACCTTCCTCCCGCCAACAGAAAACGCGGCAGTGAGACACAGGAAATTCCAGGAACCTCCGCCCCGGTGAGTCATCCCGCGCCATAGCAAAGTGTCGCCAGTCAAAACCTTTCGCTCTTATTTCAACCATTTTCGAGGCCAAGAGTATCCATTATAACCAGATTGTCTGGCATAATTTTGTTTAATATAATTAACGATGTTCGTGTATACTATAGAGTTTAGGTGTTGCAATTTAGGCTAGATTATAATTATGTTTTTAAATGAATGATGAGTAGGAGAAAATAATTGTATTGTGTAGTGAACGGAGCTTGGTGGTAGGACTGTCAGCCATTTAGAGAGGCAGGAGTCTCGGGTTGAGGTCCTTACATACGGGAGCAGCCAGCCAGGAGATCAGTCCCCGCGCGGACGTCACAGCGAGTGGACGTGTCGTTACCGCTCCTCCTCCTCCTCCAGTGACGCAAACATACGCGCGCTCCAACACTTGTTGCTACTCAACCCCAGACAAACACGCATTAAACTTTGCGAAGCAAAAAGCTGTAGTGGTCATTGGCATAACACAAGATATACAAACGGGAAGTTTAATACATAGACAAATACGCTAGTGCTGTGGAAATAAATGGCACAGACTTACATAGTGAAGATCGCAGAAATTACCTCTTGGTCGAGAGAGAACAGAGCGATTGTGAGAAGAGTTATGTGAAGGATAATTACATTATTCCACCAGTGATCGAATTTATACATTTGCTGCTACAGAAGTCAAGGCGAGTGGTGGAAGTCAAGGACTTACATACACACAGTACAACGTGTTAGACCAGTAACGAGGTCAAGCACCCACCGTGACCCCAAGATGACCCGTCCTGCGTGTGTACTCTCCTTCACTCTCTCTGGTCAGTTACTACCCCAATTAGTTTGGTGCTGGGCTTATAGGCCTATCAACAGGGCTGATAGGCCTATCACAATAGCTTAATAACCGGCCAGCAGGTATACCTTAGTCTTGAACATACTTCAAGACTAAAGTATATTCGGTATATATATACACTGAGAAATGTGGTGCACCTCTGAGTGTGTGTGTGTGTGTGTGTGTATATATATATATATATATATATATATATATATATATATATATATATATATATATATATATATGTCGTACCTAGTAGCCAGAACTCACTTCTCAGCCTATTATGCAAGGCCCGATTTGCCTAATATGCCAAGTTTTCATGAATTAATAGTTTTTCGACTACCTAACCTAACCTAACATTTTCTGCTACCTAACCCAACCTAACCTATAAAGATAGGTTAGGTTAGGTAGGGTTGGTTAGGTTCGGTCATATATCTACGTTAATTTTAACGCCAATAAAAAAAAATTGACCTCATACATAATGAAATGGGTAGCTTTATCATTTCATAAGAAAAAAAATTGAGAAAATATATTAATTCAGGAAAACTTGGCTTATTAGGCAAATCGGGCCTTGCATAGTAGGCTGAGAAGTGAGTTCTGGCTACTAGGTACGACATATATATATATATATATATATATATATATATATATATATATATATATATATATATATATATATATATATATATATATATATATATATATATATATATATATGTCGTACCTAGTAGCCAGAACGCACTTCTCAGCCTACTATGCAAGGCCCGATTTGCCTAATAAGCCAAGTTTTCCTGCATTAATATATTTTCTCTAATTTTTTTCTTATGAAATGATAAAGCTACCCATTTCATTACGAATGAGGTCAATTTTTTTTATTGAAGTTAAAATTAACGTAGACATATGACCGAACCTAACCAACCCTACCTAACCTAACCTAACCTATCTTTATAGGTTAGGTTAGGTAGCCGAAAAAGTTAGGTTAGGTTAGGTTAGGTAGGTTAGGTAGACGAAAAACAATTAATTCATGAAAACTTGGCTTATTAGGCAAATCGGGCCATGCATAGTAGGCATAGAAGTGAGTTCTGGCTACTAGGTACGACATATATATATATATATATATCCATCCCTGTGGACGTGGAGAGATATTTACTAGCCCCTTACGTGTAGCTTTTCTAACATAATTAACATAACCCATTTACTTCACGCCAAGGTACCTTGCTAATCGTTGTGCAGTTAGCTGGCAACATTGTTATTATGACTAAACACCATATACCCATTACAACTAATTCTACACACACACACCCTGAAATTTGTACACACATACACAAAGTGCGCATTGTTACATATCAATATACATTGTATCATTGCTACATATCAATATACATTGTATCATTGCTACATATCAATATACATTGTATCATTGCTACATATCAATATACATTGTATCATTGCTACATATCACTATACACTAGTTTGACCTGGCTTGACCCGTTCTAAAGGGACTGGCAGATGTGTGACTCCTTATCAGTGCCAACGAGGTCTAGCTCTTGGCCCCCGCCCTCCCCCCACTTAGTAACTACAGTACCTGGCGCAATATCACACATCTGACTTTCTCACCCACTGCTCGGAGCAATGAATGGAAGAAGCTTTTGCGGTCAATGATTACAGCTGATTTGACCCATTAGACTGCGTGGGCTGTGTCGGTGTAACGAGGTGGGGGGGGGGGAGGGGGTTGATATTGTAGTGGGAGTAAAGATCACTATAAGGTCAAGGTGTTTAGGATTTATTTGTTCTTGTCACTACACACATCCAGAGCCTCACCCACACACCTGTCACTACACACCCCAGAGCCTCACCCACACACCTGTCACTACACACCCCAGGGCCTCACCCACACACCTGTCACTACACACCCCAGAGTCTCACCCACACACCTGTCACTACACACCCCAGGGCCTCACCCACACACCTGTCACTACACACCCCAGAGCCTCACCCACACACCTGTCACTACACACCTAACCCAAGTCTCACCCACACACCTGTCACTACACACCCCAGGGCCTCACCCACACACCTGTCACTACACACCCGAGCCTCACCCACACCTGTCACTACACACCCCAGAGCCTCACCCACACACCTGTCACTACACACCCCAGAGCCTCACCCACACACCTGTCACTACACACCCAAGAGTCTCACCCACACACCTGTCACTACACACCTGTCACTACACACCCCAGGGCCTCACCCACACCTGTCACTACACATCCCAGAGCCTCATCCACACCTGTCACTACACACCCCAGAGCCTCACCCACACACCTGTCACTACACACCCCAGAGTCTCACCCACACCTGTCACTACACACCCCAGAGCCTCACCCACACCTGTCACTACACACCCCAGAGCCTCACCCACACACCTGTCACTACACACCCCAGAGCCTCACCCACACACCTGTCACTACACACCCCAGAGCCTCACCTACACACCTGTCACTACACACCCCAGAGCCTCACCCACACACCTGTCACTACACACCCCCAGAGCCTCACCCACACCTGTCACTACACACCCCAGAGCCTCACCCACACACCTGTCACTACACACCCCAGAGCCTCACCCACACACCTGTCACTACACACCCCAGAGCCTCACCCACACACCTGTCACTACACACCCCCAGAGCCTCACCCACACCTGTCACTACACACCCCAGAGCCTCACCCACACACTTGTCACTACACACCCCAGAGCCTCACCCACACACCTGTCACTACACACCCCAGAGCCTCACCCACACACCTGTCACTACACACCCCAGAGCCTCACCCACACACCTGTCACTACACACCCCAGAGCCTCACCCACACACCTGTCACTACACACCCCAGAGCCTCACCCACACACCCCAGAGACTCACCCACACACCTGTCACTACACACCCCAGAGACTCACCCACACACCTGTCACTACACACCCCAGATCCTCACCCACACACCTGTCACTACACACCCCAGAGCCTCACCCACACACCTGTCACTATACACCCCAGAGCCTCACCAACACACCTGTCACTACACACCCCAGAGCCTTACTCAGGCCAACCACAGGATACAATATTAAAGGGATGTAAACAGCCTTGGCCCTGAGAACGTAAACAAAACTCTACACACACACACACCAGCAGGAGGCCAGGGGCCAGATTCACGAAGCAGTTACGCAAGTACTTACGAACGTGTACATCTTTCCTCAATCTTTGACGGCTTTGTTTACATTTATTATACAGTTTACAAGCATGGAAACTTCCCAATCAACTGTTGTTATGGTTATAAACAGCCTCCTGATGCTTCGGAGCTCACTAACCGTTTAATAATTGTAAACAAAGCCGCCAAAGATTGAGAAAAGATGTACAGGTTCGTAAGTGCTGGCGTAACTACTTGATGAATCCGTCCACCGCTAACATGGCTCCTGACGTAACCTGCCAGGAGCAAGATGGCGTCACTAAACACCCAAACACTACACCGTGGCCCGTACGACACGCCGTAAATAGCCATGATGCCTCGCTCTCAACAACTGGCTACTCTATGCTGGCCATGTATGTCTCTATACCATCTCCAGCGGCCCATAGTCACTATAACTAGGCACGTCCAGCCTCCAGGTGAACCCTAACACCCCCCTAGTACCACCCTAGTGGGTGTGTGTTCTTAACTGGGGGTATTTGTACCCCTTGCGGACATGGGAACCAAACAACAGGGGTGTGGGGATCAAATAATGGGGGAATGGGAACCAGACAATGGTGGTATGGGACTAGCCTTGAAAAATGTACAAAAATATATATTGCCAGATTAAAATTATCCCCGTTTTTTCTATATGATAAAATTGTGTGTGTTGTGGAATTCTATATTTAAAATATGACACAAAATGGGGGGGGGGGAGGGCACAGCGGGGCACAGACAACTTGTGGTGGTGGCACTGAGTAAGGTTATACCCCAGACACAGCCACAGTGCCAAATACATCAAGGTCCGCGTCCAGCGTTTGGCAGTGCCAGTGACTTTATGAAATGACATCAACACTTTTAGAGTAAATGGATATTCCCAGTGCGGGTGTTTCCCGCCCTCCCTTAGTGCCGCCATGTTTCCCGCGGTGGGGGGGGGGGGCAGGAGGGTGGTGGCACTTCTGCCACAGGTATGGTGCCAGGGTTACCCCAAGGTCTTCCCCAGTGGCACTTCCTCAACTGACGCTCCCCCCCCCCCCTCTACTCTCGTCACCAAGAGATTGATGAAGATTAAGCCACCCAAAAGGTGGCACGGGCATGAATAGCCCGTAAGTGGTGGCCCTTTTGAGCCATTACCAGTATCAATAGCTGGAGATCTGTGGAGGTAATCACCAAGAGGTGTGGTTGGACAATATGGGAAAGGAATTGGAAGCGAAGTGGCAGTTGTTAATTTATGTTTGAAGGGGGGTCGAGCTTCAGCTCTTTGGTCCCGGCTCTCGCACAAAACTGACTATCGCTCAGATATCAACCAGGTAAGGTGGCCCCAAGTGAGGTCAACCAGGTACGGTGACCCCAAGAGAGGCCAGCAAGGCCTCTCAAGGCCTTAACTGGCAAGGCGCCAGATGCCTCACACTGCCTCTCCGTAACAAAATACAACTGTTGTACCAACCCACGAACGTACCAACCCAAGCAACCCACCTAACCAATCGAGGTCGACGCAGAAAAAAACGTCCATATTACGGTGCTTTAAGTTTTTACTACTATATCCACAAGTAACAAACGTTTTCGTAATAAAACAAGCAAATAACGGTCGACACACTTCAGTATTCCTAGCAATGACGTCACTGAGTAACTCGCACAATTTTCTTGTTAGCAGAGGACAGTTTCAGCACTACATGACGTCACACTGCTCTGTAAGCCAATAGGAGAGCTTCTCCACCGGCAGTCACCGACGTCATCACACAAGGCCACTTACAAGCG